TACTAATCTTTCTAATATTAACCACATTCAGTATCTCAAGCCTTTGGCTGACTCCATACTCGTGTCTTCCGCTGTAGGGAGCTGAAATTATCTACAAAGTTGCATGTGTATCGAGCAGTGGTCCTCCCCACCCTGCTTTATGGCAGCGAGACATGGGTCACATACAAGAGGCTCTTCTAGGCACTTGGAAATTTTACCAATGTAATGGACGTCCATCCTCTGATTTCGCTGGGAAGATAAGAAAAAATATCGCCGTATTCTCGCTGACATCAGCTGTAGGAACATCGAGGCTACCATTATCCACGAAAAACTACGCTGGACTGGCCATGTTACCCGCATGGACGACAGTAGACTGCCAAAGCAGCTACTTTACAGTCACCAAACGAATAGTAAACGTAACGCTGGCGGGCAACTGAAAAGGTATAAGGATAGTCTTAAGACAAACCTGAAAAGGTGCCAAATCGACCACCTCACCTGGGAGACGATTAATCCACACCGTAACGCTTGGAGGAGCACCACACGAGATGTTAATACTTTCGAGTTAGCCCAACTGCATAACGAGGCAGACAAGCGCCAACACCGGAAAGACGCTCCCGCTGCCCCTCCCACACTAGATGTAGCCCTCCACACGTGCCACAACTGTGAACGTCCCTGTTGGTCTTGTATCGGACTCTTTAGTCACCTCAGAGGTCACCAACGATGGTGACATCCTTAATAACTCATGTCATTGTATCGTAGCTGGATGATTGTTAACACGATTGCGAGTGACAGCAAAGTTGTAGTAATATAGTGTGTGTGTGTGTGTGTGTGTGTGTGTGTGTGTGTGTGTGTGTGTCATTTTCTTTCGTTTTATTTCTTGTAATCTTTGTGGGTTTTTTATTCTGCGTCTTATTTCTGCTTGATGTATTTGAGCTATTATTATTATTATTATTATTATTATTATTATTCCTACCCTTCCTTCTCTTCTTCATCATCTCCCTCTCTGCCTCTGAGCAGATGTAATCACTCAAGCGGGGTCCTGGAATAGCTCTCTGCACGGGTTCTTGAGTATGCGTGTGTGTGTGTGTGTGTGTGTGTGTGTGTGTGTGTGTTTGTTTTATCATATATTTCGCCAATTCTTAATTTTATTACAAAATCTCTTTAGTTTTCTCCTTCTCTTTTCCCCTCCTCCTCCTCCTCCTTCCACGCCCTCTGCTCTATCTCCCACCTTCATCACCACCTCCCTCCTACCCTATCATCACCGTCTATTCCCATCACTCCTTTCCCTCTATCCTCTTTCATCCCTTTCTCCTTTATCATGATAGTGTGTCTCCTGGTTATTCATATTTTATCATTCTTCTTTATTTATTTTTTAATTTGTGTTTTAATAGTGACATTTTTTTCTTTGTTTTACTTGAGAATTTTTTTACTTATCATTATCATTGATATATATTTTTTTAATTATTGTCTTTGTGTTTATTATTATTATTATTATCTTTTTAATTTTATCATCATCATCATCACCACCGTCATCACCACCAACCATCATCACCATCATCATCATCATCATCATCATCATCACCACCACCATCACCACCATCATCACCACCACCATCATCACCACCATCACCACCACCATCATCACCACCATCACCATCCTCAGCATCTAAGTATCACTGAATATAAATCTTGTTAAGCGGAGCCAAAGTCTTCATATAGGAAAAAATATTTGATGCGATTTTTTTCTCTGCTTGCAGATGACTATGTCGGGGAAGGGGTGTATTTAGTGGGGGTGAAGGAGGAGGGGGAGGAGGGGGAGAGGAGGTAGATTGAGAGAGGGGGAGCGGTAAGAGGGAGGGGGTAGTTTGAAAGGGGGAAGGAGGAAGGGGGTTAGTTAGTTATCCAGGGTGAAATGATGAGATCGGTGAGGGGGTGAGGGTGGGTGGTTAAGAGGGAGACGATGTAAATACTCAGGGGAGACATACACACATACACATCAGTATACATACACATATATATACAAGGAACAAAACATACCAATTTATTCAAGGACTAAAAGTAAACGGCATATCTATTTTTTATTTTATTTTTTACTAGGAAGAAAGTCTGGTACACAAATTTGAAGTGACATAAGTTATGAGGTCACGTCAGGGTGATCAAAGGTGGCGGTGTGGTATGTCACCTGGTGTGTGTGTGTGTGTGTGTGTGTGTGTGTGTGTGTGTGCGCGCATTTTGGGGGATTTCAACTTCAGAAATATTGACTGGGACAACATTGTAGGTGACTATGAATCTGAAGACTTCCTAGATGCAGTACAGGACAATTTTTTAAAACAACTAAATACAGAACCTACTAGAGGTGACAATATATTAGACCTAGTATTAACAAATAAAGAAAATATTATCAGAGATATCGTAGTAGGGGAAGAACTAGGTAACAGTGATCACAGAGAAACTAGGTTCACCCTAAATTGGGAAACGAAAAACAATGACAATATGGTCAGAGTCCCAAACTTTCGATCGGCGGATTATCAGGGATTAAGAAGGTACCTAGGTGAGGTCGCCTGGAAACAGTCAGGTCAGTACCCGGTAGGAACGGGTGAGGTCACAGGCGACACAACAATTGATCATGACTAAAATATATTCACTAGTATATTACGTAAAGCACAGGAACAAAATATACCATACAGAAAAATTAGGTCAAATAAGAATGAGCCAAGATGGATGACCAAAAGACTTAAACATGACATAGGAATAAAGAAAGGAATTTATAAGAAATTAAAGGGAGGGGAGGAGCAGCTCAGAAATAGGTATAATGAACTATCTAGGAATGTTAAGAAAAATGTAATGAAGGCAAAGAAGGACTACGAAATCAGGATACCAAGGGAATCCAAGGCGAATCCCAAGGGATTTTTCCAGGTATATAGGACAAAGTGGAGCCTTTAAAGTCACGGAGGGAGGAAGTGATCGATGACAGTGAGGAAATGAGCAAATCATTAAACAGCTACTTTTTATCAGTTTTCACAGAAGAAATTCACGAGGAAATGCCAGAGGTAGAACTGATATTTAGCGGAAATGAAGAAGAGAAATTATAGAATATCACTATCAGAAAAGTGGATGTTCTTAAGAAGATAAATAAATTAAAGAAGACAAACTCCCCAGGGCAGCATGAAATTTTCCCTCGAGTTTTGAAAGAGTGTAAGGAACAGATTAACGGACCCCTCGTAAATTTATTTACAAAATCATTAGACAAGGGAGTTGTGCCAGACTTGTGGAAACAGGCAAATGTAGTACCCATATTCAAAAAGGGTGACAGAGCATCACCATCAAATTACCGGCCGATTAGTTTGACGTCAGTAGTGGGGAAATTTCTTGAATCAATTAAAACAAATAACATCCGATCGCATTTAGAGAAAAACAAATTAATCTACGACTCTCAACATGGGTTTACAAAGGGAAAATCTTGTCTAACAAGTCTGCTCACGTTTTTTAGGAAAGTCTTTGAGGTAGTAAATAATGACGAAAATTACGATGTTATTTACTTAGACTTTAGCAAAGCGTTTGACAGAGTACCGCATCAGAGGCTTCTGAGAAAAGTTAAGGTTCATGGTATCGAGAAGTTTTAATTCAGACCAAAATCTTAGCAAGCTCTCGATAGAGAACACAGGTCAGCATAGTGGTGTTAAATCTGGAGTGGGGCTACTTATAGTGAGTTTGAGGATCAGTGAGCCCACTCTTTGTTCATAATCTGCATAAACGATCTAGATACTGGGATCAGCAGTGACACAAGCAAGTTTGCGGATGACACCAAAATAGGGCGAATTAATTCAGGGCAGGATGCAAATGCTGGGAAGATTTAAATAAACTGCGGATGAGTAGAAAAATGGCAAATGGAATTCAACACCAGCAAGTGCAGCATTAGCAATAATGGAAGAACAAATACTGTCAATGTATACAGCCTTATCAACATCAACCTAGAAGTCGACTTGGTGAAGAGACTTGAGGTGCTGTAAGCCCGGACCTGCAGCACAGAAAACAATTGCGTTAATATTCCGAAATAAAGGCAAGCAAAGTATTGGGTTTTTTATATCTAGGGGGTGTGTAAGTAATAAGAGTGCGGAGATGTATTGCAACTATATCTTGCGCTAGTCGAGGCCGCACCTCGATTATGCGGTTCCAGTTCTGGTGCCCTTATTATAGAATGGATATCAATTCACTAGAGTCAGTGCAGCGAAGAATGACGAAAACGGAATTCCTGGACTCAAAACCTTCCATATCAAAGGGATAGATTAAAGAAACCTAAACTTGCATTCCCTAGAAAAGATGAAAGATACAAGAAGGAAGATATGATAGAAGTATTTAAGTGCGGTGAAAGAATCAATAAAGAAGATATAGATAAAGTTCTTATAATATCCGAGCAGGATGAGTCTCGTAACAACAGTTTAAGTTGGATAAAAGTTTAGGTTTTAGGAGGAGTAAAGGAAGGAACTGAGGAACTGGTTCACAAATAGGGTGGTAGACGAGTGGAACAAGCTTAGCAACTTTGTAGTAAGTGCTGGAACGCTGGAAAGTTTTAAAAGGAGGCTAGATAGATTCATGGATGATAGAGTGGAAGTAACTCTCGACAGGAGCTGCCATGCACAGACCAACCGGCCTATTGCAGACTCCTTATTTTCTTATGTTCTTATGTGTGTGTGTGTGTGTGTGTGTACAGGAGACCTTTACAGAGTGACTATGTGTGTACAGGTATCATTAAAGTGCATCAATATAGACACATACCATAACATCTACAATACACACATAAACACTATATATGTCTCTCCTATACACACATATACACAGTACCAACGTCTCACATACACCCACACACATACACACAAAACAGTATCTGTCACCTGTGAACACCTTATGACCCCTAATTAACAAACACACTCATTAGTAATTGGAGGTAACACACAGATTTATCACCACTTCCACTTAAATTATTTTTTTATATTTGATAATTCGGTAATATATATCAGGTCTTGTATGTATGTATGTATGTATGTATGTATGTATGTATGTATGTATGTATGTATGTATGTATGTATGTATGTATGTAACTGTGTGTATATGCATGTGTGTACGCATGAGTTAGAATATGCTCATGTGCGTTTGTGTGGAGATAAAACGTCCACAGTACATAAATTAGGTCACCTCACAACACAGTCTCAGATAACAGGTAAAATGTCACCTTATTTTTTCTTAACTTTCTTTAAAATTCTCGTAAGTTTAATATATTTTCCCTTTCATACCATTACGTTTGTTTACATTTAGACCGTGACGTAATGCTCTCTAGTGTGACGTCATAGTCAAGAAAGCCATGTCATGGCGTTTGGCGTGACGTCATGACCAATGAGGTGAAGTCTTAAGCATGACGTCATGACCAACACCACATGGCGTCATAAACCACACGATGACGTCACGACCAATAGCAAGCCAGGAACCAAATAAGAGCTCCAAATTCTCCCTCCAAAATAACTATACAGACAAACACCGTATTAACTACGCTTAATAAAACATATATTTTTGGTTTATTTGTTTGTTTACACTGGACAGAAAACACTACAAAGCTGTGATCTCTACATAACACAGGTCTTTTGGTAGGGGGATATAATATACAAGTTTGTGCAGTATTTTTGTTGCCATAGTATGAGCAGTGTATAAAAACAGTAGTAGGAATATACTATTTGTGAGTCTGTCTCCTTCTGTCTCTCTCTCTATATATATATATATATTTACGTGTCTATCTGTCTGTCAACCTACTTATAGTATATATCTGTCTGTCTGTTTATCATTTCAGGACATCATCTCTCGCCAGATTAATGACGTCACGGCTGCCATCACCACGCTGGCACCACCGAGGGACATGTGGAGACTCAACGACCCGCTCAGGTGTTGCATAGCTGCGGTCTCTTCATCTCCTATAATGAATAAATTCCATAAGATTTATTATCATGTATAAAATTGTATAAAATCTATAAAATTATAATGGTATCAAAATGTATTAGTATATAGAGATTTATTGAGGAATATCATATGTTATACCTGTGTGTCCAAATTTTCCACACCTGTCCATGGGATATAAAAGTGAGAGAGACAGAGAGACAGACAGGTAGACAGACAGACAGATAGACGGACAGACAGAGAGACAGACAGGTATAGAAAGACAGGTAAAGAGACAGACAGACAGACAGACAGAAAGACAGACAGAAACTAAATTCATTACCTATAAGACTCACCTATCAACACATGGAGGGTTAGGTTAAGGGCTTGAGTACAGGTGTTAGTACAGGTATAAACACCTGAATGGGCGGTCGAAGCTCGTGGGCGTGTGAGGGTGGCTCTAGCTATGGGCAAACCAATAGGCGTGGGCGTAGTCGTGGGCGGGGAGGTGGTAAGACCGCCAACTAATCCATCATCCTCAGTTGTGTGATGGTGGTGGTGATGATGATGGTGTTTGGTTGGTATGGTAGTATGGATGTGATAGTGTCGTGGATATGGGGTGGTGGTGGTGGTAGTGGTGGTAGTGGTGGTAGTGGTAGTGGTGGTAGTAGTGGTTGAGATGGTATCAGCTTGGATGTTCCCTTCATATACTTCACTGCCTTGTTGGACCTACACGAGATAAATTTACTTAGCAAACAATATTATTAATTCTATACAAACAATGAACGAGTTATATTAAAGAGGCAAACAATACAGGAGTAATATTATTTAGCAAGCAATTTTATATTTACACTGTATAAACACTAATCTGTAAACAATTCACAAGTAATGTATCATTCCTATGCAAACTATGTACAGGAAATATTATCAAGCAAACAATGTTCAATTAGTTTATAAACAACGTAAAAAAAGAATATTATCAAGTAAACAATTTTCTATCAAAATAAAAACATCGTATGAAGAAATAATAGTGCAAGGTAAAAAATATCAATATTTGTAAACAGTACCATAGGCCTAAGGAAGAATGAACGCACAATGGGTTAAATGAACTCCCCCCCCCCTACGAAAAGAACAGAAAGAACGCACAAAAAAAGAGAAAAGAAAGTACAAAAATATTTAACAAAACACCACACAAAAGAACGCATAAAAATATACGAAAATGAATGTAAAAAAAAAATGCATAATAACGCATCATAAAAAAAAAAAACCCAGAGGGATGCGAATGTTATACCATTTCCGTAAGAGATAAAGAGAGACAGACAGACAGACAGACAGACAGGCAGATAAACAGACAGACAGACAGACAGACACAGTTTTCACCCCTTGACAACGAGGAAGCAATACAGACTTCCTTTTTATTTTATTTTTTGGTAAGATAATTATCAAGACTCTTCATTGAGATGCACTTAGTCATGTTACATTACCATAGGACGAGAGGTGATACGTGTCTGAGAGAGATTGATTAAAAATATGGAAATGTTTAGGTTGAAGATTTGGTGGGTTAATACTTTTGGTGGGTTAATACTTTTGGTGGGTTAATACTTTTGGTGGGTTAATACTTTTGGTGGGTTAATACTTTTGGTGGGTTAATACTTTTAGAAATTATATATTCGGGATTTGATATGTTCAGAGGTTGAAAATTTATCATCACAAAGTTGACGCCACCAGTAAAAGTCTCTCTCTCTCTCTCTCTCAACAGCGATAACACATTCACTCTAATTCTCCTACAGAACCAACAAAGAAGAATTACAGAGGCAGAAGTTTTGTGAGTCCCCAGGTAATTTGACTTGAGTTGCACCAGTCACTTAGAACGAGGGGCCACCACGATCCCCCACTCCAACACCACTCTCCAACACAACCCTCCAACACAACCCTCCAACACAACCCTCCAACACCACTATCCCCCTCCAACACCACCCTCCACCACAACCCATCTTGCTTACACCACCACCACCACCACCACCACCACCACCACCCCCTCTCCACTACCACCACACCACACCGAGGAAACTTTTATAAGTGAGTTTGAATACTTAATAACCAGCCTAAGTGACTTTACAGTGAAGTTAAGTGTGTAGAGTTCTGGGAATGTGTCATTATACAGTCCTCGTATATCCCCTACTTTCCCATAGGTTACCGTTGGCTCTTAGACTATATTCTTACCTATTCGTATATAGAGTGATTCAGCAAAGAGTATTTTAAATTAGAGAATAAATCCTTGGATAATTCTAAACCACATAGTCTCTATGGTAAAATGTCATATTCTGCATAATTTCCATGTTGTAATACATTTAAGTTGTTGCATTAATGAGAGTGAATTTGATGTGAAACCCCCGTAGGTTTTTGTATTAATTTATTCACAAATCTCTACAGTGTGACCCCTCTTTGTTACAACCTAAAGGGAATGCTCAAAGTTGCCCCCTTCTGCCTCTGTGAATAAATTATTACAAAAACCTACGGGGGTTTCACTTCAAATTCACTCTCATTAATACAACAACTTAAATGTATTGCAACATGGAAATTATGCAGAATATGACATTTTACCATAGAGACATTGTGGTTTAGAATTATCCAAGGATTTTATTCTCTAATTTAATGTACTCTTTGCTGAATCACTCTGTATATGAAAACATTATACGGTAAATATCCAAAGCAAATGAATCGTTTTAACTGGAAATTTTATATACATATAGAACCTTTACGTGGATATAAGTGGATAAGTTTTCGTTATATATAGCCCAGGTCAAGGTCATGCCAGGAGGTCAAAGATGAGTCATTGAGATCTTTAAAATGGCTTCTGATTGGCCGATAATTAATGTCTTTGTTACGTGTAATTGTTTATCCAACCATGAAGTCTCTCTCTCTCTCTCTCTCTCTTTTTCTCTTTCTCTCTCTCTCTCTCACTCTCTCTCTCTCTCTCTCCACCTGGGTAGTAATATACTCACCTGTCGTCCCCTGTACCAGGCGGGGAGAGCCGGATAAGGACAGCCTCTCACTTCACACACCAGCACCACACGGCTACCCTCCTTCAAGAACACCTCCCGCCCGGGGTGTACTGATGCCACGGCCTCTGTAAGGGGAAGACGAAGGATTGGCTGAGTGTCTGTCTGCACCATTCTTGTTAATTGCCTTATTGTCACTCTTTTTTTTATATCTTTATTTACGATTTTGTTGAGAATAGTGATGCTCTCTCTCTCTCTCTCTCTCTCTCTCTCTCTCTCTCTCTGCCACCAGCACAGAGGAGGGTAGACTGCAGATAGTAGTGGGCTAATGGACAATTGACACAAATAAGTGCCTGCACTGCGGGCCTGGGCGATGAAGACGAAGCATCCAGTTTAATACCTCCAGGTGTTGACTGCCATGAACCTGACGGGGGAAAGGAGAGGGTTAGAGAGAGAGAGAGAGAGAGAGAGAGAGAGAGAGAGAGAGAGAGAGAGAGAGAGAGAAATAAGAATTAATAACTCGCTAAAAAGGTGGACTGAAAACAAACATAAACTCATTACAATACAAACAGACAATAACCGACATAAATATATATTTCTACACCTAAATAATGACTTGAGAAGGGGATAACAAAATATAATAAATATATAAATAAATAAATACGAGATTTTTGTAAAGGTAGAGTCAAACACACAAATAATAATGGAACTCGAAGACAATAATCGAATTTAAGAACTTCAAGATGTCAGGAATTGTGTTGATACATGTGGTGAATATCCTGTGTGTGTGTGTGTGTGTGTGTGTGTGTGTGTGTGTGTGTGTGTGTGTGTGTGTGTGTTGCTCTATAACTGTTTGAAGAGGGAGAGAGATAAAAGAGCGAGCGACAGACAGACAACCAGACAGCGTTTCTATAATAAAAACAAAAGAATAAGAGAAAGTAAATGAAAGGAAGAGAGAAAGTTTGTCGAGTATATTATGTTTGTGTGTGGAGCCTCTCTCCCATGTGAGTCTCAAGCAATCTAACTTTCTTTGAGAGAGAGAGAGAGAGAGAGAGAGAGAGAGAGAGAGAGAGAGAGAGAGAGAGAGAGAGAGAGAGAGAGCTCCTCTGATTTCTGCTATTTTTCCCTATCTTCTCATTTCTTCCCGTCATTAACTGTCTTCTTCTGTCATATTTTCCTATTGTTTCCTCACTTTTCTTAGTCTCTCCTGTCTAAAATAAACTCCCACACCTGCAGGAACTGACAGGTAAATGACAGGAGGCTTTATCTATTACGCCTGTCTAATTATAATCCAGCCCAAACTTCGCGAGTGTGTGTGAATGACAGACGGGGTGAGGACAGAACTGACAGAGAAGGAGAAGAAATAACCAGAGATAGACAGAGGAAGAGACAGATGGAGAGAGACAGGCAGGAAGACAGAGAAACACAGAGAGAAAGAGAGACAGGCAGTAAGAAAGAAAGAAAGAAAGAAAGAAAGAAAGAAAGAAAGAAAGAAAGAAAGAAAGAAAGAAAGAAAGAAAGAAAGAAAGAAAGAAAGAAAGAAAGAAAGAAAGAAAGAAAGAAAGAAAGAAAGAAAGCCCAGTTCATGACCTATCAAAAATATTTATAATTTCTATTACATCACACATATATATATATATATATATATACATATTCAGTATATTTCCTCTCAATTTATTTCATATACATATATTTTTCATTTTTTTGCTTTGTATATTTCTCGTTATAATTAATACGTGTGTCACAGGGCGTAAAACAAGTCTGTCAACTGTCATTAGGGCGTAGGAGAATTTTCCTATGTTGCTATGATATACCAATGAGACAGACAGACAGACGCAAAGACAGAAAGAGACAGACTAACAAACAGAAAGAAACAGAGAGAAAAAGACAAACACAGACAGACAGACAGACAGATTCAGGGGTAAATAAAGAGAGAACTCACCTGTTGTCAGATGTATACGTTGTCTCACCAGCTGTCAACAGGTGAATATCTCTGGCTCTCACCCACGACACCTGTAGTGAGAGATGTAACAGGTGTTATTTATTACAGGTAGTTATAGGAACCAACTTATGTTCTGATGGATTCATTGGTGTCTAATAATAATAATAATAATAATAATAATAATAATAATAATAATAATAATTAGCGGTTTATTAAAAGAGCATGACAACGGAAGGCTGAAAATATACAGTTACATAATTGGGGAATGGGTCTCTTGATTTATAAATAATATACAAGTAACATAAGTGATACAAATATGATATATAATAACTCGGTGGGGAGAAGGTTTTACTACAGGGCATTTCAACATACTGTAGTAAAAGTGCAAAAAGATTGACTGGGAGTGTGTGTGTGTGTGTGTGTGTGTGTGTGTGTGTGTGTGTGTGTGTAAAATAATTTGCTTCAAAAAAAAAATATCACAGCATATATACCTTTGGGGGAGTATTTCCTCCTAATTTCACTAAATCAATCACGTATTAAGACTTTCACCAATAGTTACTTTTTAATCTACTTTCACATGTTACTTTCTAAATCTTTCTCTGGCCAAAGAATTCTCTCCTGTGATCTGGTTTAGTTTTCAGGACACGGAGAAAAAACATTGAATTTGAACAGCTGGCGAGTGTCTGTCTGTCTGTCTGTCTGTCTGTCTGTCTGTCTGTCTGTCTGTCTGTCTCTGTCTGTCTCTGTCTCTCTATATATTTGTTTTTTATCTGTCTATACATTTACCTGTTTGTTTTCTCTCTCTCTCTCTCTCTCTCTCTCTCTCTCTCTCTACCTTATTTCTCTATCTCTTGTTTCTTTATTTTTCCTTTTCTCTACTATAAATTTCTCTACGTTTATTCTCCTTTCTTCTTCTTCTTCTTCTTCATTTCACTCTTTTAAAAACTTTTCTGGGTGGATGGAAATACGATAAGCTGAATAAATATAAAAAAAGAAAGACGAAAATAAATAAAAAAAACAAAAACACGAGCTATTGTTGACAGGTAATGACGGGTTATGGACAGGACGTGAAATAGAATTGACAGGAAAAATGTATGACAGGAGACGGATGATGGCAAAGATGGGAAAGAATAAGAGAGAAATAATGCGAAATGAAAGAAATATTGGGAAAAGGACAGAAAATAGGAATGAAAAGGACAGAGGCTAAAAATGACAGGAGTATAGAACAGGAATGTGGTGTTAGAAGCCAAGGAAGTGACGGTGAAGGAAAGTGACAGGAACTGAAGGAAAATGACAGGAACTGGAGGAAAGTGACAGGAACTGAAGGAAAGTGACAGGAACTAAAGGAAGGTGGCAGGAACTGGAGGAAAGTGACAGGAACTGGAGGAAAGTGGCAGGAACTGGAGGAAAGTGACAGGAACTGGAGGAAAGTGACAGGAACTGGAGGAAAGTGACAGGAACTGAAGGAAAATGACAGGAACTGAAGGAAAATGACAGGAACTGAAGGAAAGTGGCAGGAACTGGAGGAAAGTGACAGGAACTGGAGGAAAGTGACAGGAACTGAAGGAAAGTGACAGGAACTGAAGGAAATTGACAGGAACAGAAAGTGACTGTAGCTGAAGGAAAGTGACAGGAACTGAAGGAAAGTGACAGGAACAGAAGGAAATTGACAGGAAAAGAAGGAAAGTGACAGGAACTGAAGGAAAGTGACAGGAACAGAAAGAAAGTGACAGGAACAGAAAGTGACTGTAGCTGAAGGAAAGTGACAGGAACTGAAGGAAAGTGACAGGAACCCAAAGTGACAGAAAATACGAAAAAAGTGACAAGAAAAGACAGAACCAATTGACAATAAATGATGGATAGATGACAAGACTCACGAACTAAAATGACAGGAAATACAGAAACTATTGACGGGAATGACAGAAAAAATTAAAGAAAAGAAGGAAAGATGACAGAAAAAAGGAATAATGACAGAAATAACATAAAGAAATGATAGGAATGACAGAAATTGGTAAATAAAAAAAAACGGGAGACACGGATTAAACTGACAGAAATAACGGAAAAAATTGCAGAAATATCGGAAAAAATCACAAACTACCGAAAAAACTACATAAATTAAGAACGAAATTATATGAATTACGAGAAAAAATACAGAAATAAATAAAAATAAATTACAGATTAGTGCTAAAAATAACGATAAAATACATATATTACAAAAAATCACAAAAAATCACAGAAAAATTGCACATAATACGAGACGAAGAAAAAAAAATGCTTCTCAATTAATGATATTTTAAATCATTGTTTTAGGTTAGGTTAGGTTAGGTTAGGTTAGGTTAGGTTTGGTTAGGTTAGGTTAGGTTTTCATTTCTCACCTAAAATATATAAAAAAATTGAAAATTATGTCTCACTACACTAAGGAAATTGCAAAGTTTTGTCTCACGGCGCTGAGGAAATGAGAGGCCTTCTGTCTCACTCGGGAGAAGCCACACGTTGTTCTCTTACTTTTAACCTTTGAGAAGAAAGTAATGGAACTTTCTATCTCACCTCCACGCAGGAAATGACAGATAATTTTTTCCTTCATCTCAATAAACTGACAGAATTCTTGCCTCACCTCACAATTAAATGACAGAATTTTTGCCTCACCTCACAGCTAAATTGACAGACTTCTTGCCCCACCTCACAATTAAATGACAGAATTCTTGCCTCACCTCACAATTAAATGACAGAATTTTTGCCTCGCCTCAGATAAATTGACAGACTTCTTGCCTCACCTCAATAAACTGACAGATTTCTTGCCTCACCTCACAGCTAATTTGACAGATTTCTTGCCTCACCACAGACAAAATCACACAATTGTTATCTTATCCAAATGAATGAACCACAGATTAATGCCTCACCTACACGAGACAACAAACTCTTAGTCTTTCACAGAACATTTATGTCTCACTCAAGAGGGACATTAATTCTCTCGATTTCTCATCACAGGTATTGAGAGACAATCACCTTCACATTTCATAGACTGAGATAAATTATTATGAGGAATTGAACTATTGAGAAAACACAAGGAATTTTGGTTTGTGTGTGTGTGTGTGTGTGTGTGTGTGTGTGTTTGTGTATGATAATGGGCTTAGTTTTTATTATTATTATTATTATCCAAAACACACCTGGTTAAAAAAATACATTATGAAACACCTTCACCTTAATTAGCCACTAACACAGGTGAAGGCAACAGCGAACACCTGGCGGACTCACCGTGTAGTTGTGGAGATTCCTAACCACACAGGTGAGGTAGGCTGTCTGGCCGATGGGCGCGTGGGCGTGGGCGTGGATGGAGGCGTTGATGAAAGACGGACCGACTAACGTTGAATACTGTACAGACTGACGCTTGTGGGCCGGTAACTCTTCCTTGTCTGTAAGTCTGTGTCCGTCTGTACCTGTTAGAGACACGTTTTAGGCACGTTAAGACATGTTATAGACGAGTTACGACATGTTTTAAATGATTTAGGACATTCTGAAAACATTTTAGAGCATGTCAAACACTACATTTTTAACTGTAGGATATCTCTCTCTACGTGTTTGTTATACAGAGACGTGTTAAAACAAGTAGGAGACGTGTTTGGTACTGTACAGTTTTTTGGCAACAATTAAAACACGTCAGACTACTAATGGACCGTACTCAACACATGTAACGATGACCCTCAACTTTAATAGACCCCGTTCAGGACCTGTTGAGACGTGTTACGGACGTGTAATGACGTGTGTGTGTGTGTGTGTGTGTGTGTGTGTGTGTGTGTGTGTGTGTGTGTGTGTACCAGCAGTATCATCGGAGAAAGCGTGTGTGTGTGTGTGGGTCTATGTATATGTGTGTATGTGTACGTGCGCGTGAGTGTGTACATGTGAGTGTATGTATACCAACAATATTATCCCAACAAGCGTGTGTATACCTGTAAACAAAACAGGTGCATGAGGTTAATTACTCGAGGCTGCATCTTCCCCATGGACCTTACGAGTATATTCTCCTGTGATCATCCACCATTGTAGTGATCTAGGACCATAAACACGGGAAATATTTGCTTGTTGACGTTGTTATTTTGCACCACCGACCCCTTCCTATAACTGCCTCACCGACCCCTTCCTATTGTGCCTCACCGACCCCTTCCTATTGTGCCTCACCGACCCCTTCCTATAACTGCCTCACCAAACCCCTTCCTATTGTGCCTCACCGACCCTTCCTATAACTTTGCCTCCACCGACCCTTCCTCTATTCTGCCTCTAGAAACCCCTTCTGTGTGCCTCACCGACCCTTCCTATAACTGCCTCACCGACCCCTTCTATTCCCCATGCCTCACAAACCCCTTCCTATTGTGTGCCTCCACCGACCCTTCCTATTCTGCCTCACCAAACTCCTTCCTATTGTGCCTGCCAGAGCCTTCCTATTCTGCCTCCACCGACTCCTTCTATTCTGCCTCACCGACTCCTTCCTATTCTGCCTCCTCCGACCCCTTCACCATATTCTGCCTCACTGACTCCTTCCTATTCTACCTCCCCGACACTTCTATTCTGCCTCCCCAACCCTTCCTATTCTACCTCCCCGACCCTTCTATTCTGCCTCCACCAAACCCTTCCTATTCTGCCTCCACCGACCCTTCCTATTCTGCCTCTGCAACCCTTCCTATTCTACCTACCAAACCCCTTCTATTCTGCCTCTCGCTCCTTCCTATTCTACCTCACCGACCCCTTCCTATTCTACCTCCCCGACCCCTTCCTATTCTGCCTCACCGACTCCTTCCTATTCTACCTCACCGACCCCTTCCTATTCTGCCTCACCGACCCCTTCCTATTGTGCCTACCCGACCCCTTCCTATTCTGCCTCCCCGACCCCTTCCTCATGGCCTGTTGTTAGTCAGGTAAATTAGTTATACCTGTCAAAGAAAACGTGATTATTGGCCGTAATATTTTTATCCCTTGTGATCTGTCTATCTTTTCTATGTATGAGTGTCTGTCTGTCTTTTTATCTGTTTGTCTGTCTGTCTCTATGTACGATTATCTGTCTATCTGTCTGTCTGTCTCTCTGTCTGTCTGTCTCTCTGTGCAAATATATGTCTGCTTGCCTGCCTGTCTGTCCTCTCTCTCTCTCTCTCTCTCTCTCTCTCTCTCTCTCTCTCTCTCTCACACACATTTTCTTGACTATTACACCAAATCAAATATTTTTTACTCGAAAATTTTCTTCGCAAATTGAAATAATTTTCTTCTTAAGTCAGGATGATGATGTTATTACATAAGGTTTATTTCTTGCTAAGGTCGACTGATTTCCTGCTAAGATGGTTTATTGTGTTTGGTACATATGGTTTAACCCTTTAAAGAAGATGGTTTAACTATTTTGAAGCCCATGGTTTAATCCTTATGAAAATGATTATTTAACCATTTCAGGAGGGTGGTTAAAACTCCTTTGAGAATGATGGTTTAGCCGATTAAGGACTATATTTTTAACCCTTTGCGGACGATGATTTAACCCTTTGAGCATGGTGGTTTAACCCTTTAAGGACGATGGTTTAACCCTTTGAGAATAATGATTTTAACCCTTTAAGAACTATGGTTACACCAAATTAAGACTTTAGTTTAACCGTTTGAGGACGATGATTTAACCCTCTGAGAACGACGGTTTAACCCTTTAAGAACGACGGTTTAATCCCTTAAGGACAATGGTTTAACCCCTGAATAACGATGGTTTAACACCTTCGTCATCAGAGAGTTCATTAACACTGTTAGATCAGATTAACATTCAAGGGAAGATAATTAGGACTTACCTGTAAATCCCCCGAGGCAGACGTGGCTTAGGAGGAGTATTAGAGCCGCCCACGACCACATCCCGCCCACCAGGTGTCACCTCAAGCCGCCCAAAACGCCCACTACCTGGCGTCTTAAGCCTCCCACGGCACTTGCAAGATGATGTTGCAGACTTAACGCTTCTGTCCCTTACTGCCGCTGTCTTAAGCCGCTCACAAGCTGATTTCGAGGACACCCCTCACAACCTGGATGTCTAAGACCGCCCTCACCGCCCACGTCTAGATGCTTTAGGCCTACCACACCTCCACCTGTAAAAATATAACAATCCCTTATAAAAATGTAATTCAATATGAGAATAAACAAATATATAACAGTATAAGATAAATAACCATTAAATAATTGTCGTTATTTTACTATATATTAATCGAGAAAATGACCGAAAAAAACGATACTTTTACCAACAGTTTACGAGCGAGTGACTGGAACACAACGGCAAAAGATAAACACATTGGAATCCATAATAACATAAAAGTGGATATTAATGTGTGTGATCCTCTTACTGCCCCCCTCCTCCCCCCCCCCTCTTCCTCCTCCTCCCAAAAATCCATTCTTAATGAAGCAAAAACAAGAATGATAAAGGGGGAATTTTTCAGCCATAAACAGTTGATAATGTCACGGCAGCGGAGGTAGGTGAGGGAAAGAGTGTCGGTACAGCTTATCTCTGAAGTGTCGCTTGTGTCTGGCAATGCTACCCTGGGTTGACACATACACTGTGATATACCTCCCTCTCATCTCCCTCTCACTCAATACATCTCCCTCTCACTTTACATTCATCTCCCTCTCACTTAACAATATATCCCTCTCACTCAGCACTCATCTTCCTCTCACTTCACACTCATCTGCCTCATACTTCACATTCATCTCCCTCTCACTTCACTCTCATCTCCCTCTCACTTCACACTCATCTCCCTCTCACTCAACACAACAGACACAAATTCTATCACACTCGGGGCATTAGCGTGCTACCATAACAAGACATCTTAGGTCGTAATTCTCTCAATAAATCTCCTGGTTCAGTTCTTAACGCGCGAGAGACCTTACACCCTCGTTATTATGCTCCCCAACTAAGAGTGTTGTTGTCTAGGCTGCCACGTGTACGATAATGTCTGGGAAAAGGGATTCTCAAACGTTTGTATGGAAGAGAACGAAACACGAATGATTCCAAATACGATATTAGATGAATTCTCTCAAACGTTCGTAATTGAAAAAAAAAACGTCTCAGATTACGGAAAAAGATGAATTCTCAAACATTCGTAAACAAAAGAACAAAAACTAAAAGAGTCTCAGATTACGAGGAAAATAAAAAGATTCTCAAAGATTCGTAACGATAATTTTATCCTGAAGGTGTGCGAACGAACCCAAACGACCCAATCTGACTTACGACACAAAGATGAAGGATAAAATAGTGTTATAACAGCATTAAGACTCTAACCTCACCTTGATACCTACTCCATAAACCCGGGTTGTTGCGTGGATGTTATGATGCACTACTTTGCTTCAACACCTAAGTTCTTTAAGTAATGTATTGTTGTTGTTATAATATAATAACTTCAATAACTAAAGTATCTAAGAGTGTATGATAAAACAGTAATTCATCCTAAAGAATTAAAACATAATAGAGTTCTTCCTTAGGGGAGATATATCAATACATACAATTCAAAAGCTTCGTGGGGCAGCGATCACCTCATACGAATATTTTCAGAGGTGGAGTCGATTAATATAATTGTGGTTTAATATTTCTGAAACAATGTGTGTGTGTGTGTGTGTGTGTGTGTGTGTGTGTGTGTGTGTGTGTGTAATATTCTTGAAACAATGTGTGAGAGAGTTGGTGGAATCTTAGAATTTTCTAGGGTTAAGTTTAAGTTAGATTTGTGTGGTATAATTCTGTTCTAAATGTATGTATGTATGTATGTATGTATGTATGTATGTATGTAATACACTATAGGACTAGGCGTGTGTGTGTCTGTTCTGGGCAGCCAAAACGGCACAATCGTTTTTCATCAAACTTGGTGGAAAAATCGCAAAAAATTCGTAGAGTGGAACAAACCTGGTCCCATGTCGATGGATTCTTTAAGAAGGCATTAGTTAACAATTTTATTTACGATGGAAAACGATGCAAGTCTACGGACTTGGCACACCCTCATTCGCTGTACGCTGTCACGAGCGTTCAAACTCTCACAAGGGCACGAACGTGCCCGCGATCACTTGTGTGTATGTATGTATGTATGTATGTATGTACAGTATGTATGTAGGTATGTATGTATGTATGTACAGTATGTATGTATGTATGTATGTATGTATGTATGTATGTATGTATGTATGTATGGATGGATGTATGGCTCAGACCACTGCGACACTGATCAACGGCTCGTCAGAGCCAAGTTCTCACTTTACGTTGCCCCAAAACGGCGAAGGCAGCAAGCCTCCAGAAGAAGTTTTAATATTAAGAGTCTAGAGGATCCAGCAGTACACATGCTTTCAGAGAGCAGCTCGAACATGGGCTTATAAACAACCCAACCGCAAGCAACCTAAATCCCAGTGCCGAATGGGAAATTCTTGACACTGTAATGACAAAAACCTACAATGACCCTCGGCCAGATCAAAAGAATACACCAGGACTGGTTTCATGAAAATGATCCGGCAATCAGTGAACTGTACTCGTCGAGGACAAACGTTCTGCTTTAACTGACTGGCAGAACAACCCTCAGTCTCGAACCAAAGCTGATACCTTCCGCAAGAAGAAAGCGGCGGCCCAGCGGGAACTTTGCAATCCAAAGAACGACTGGTTTAAAAATGAAGTATATGAAGTACAAAAACTTGCAGATCAACACAAGATGGGTGAATTTTTCAATTCCACTGAAACATTTTATGGGTCAGGCACTCATGGCGCAGCCCGCCTCCACTCATCTGACGGTAACTCCATAATTAAAGACGATCAAGGCCTCCTTAACCGCTGTAAAGAACACTACCATTCGCTGCTCAACTGAAACACTGATGTGGATGTCCTGACTACCCAGCAGGTCCCTCAGCATCCAGAGTTGACCCACCTCAGCTATCCTCCATCCCTGGGTGAGGTAGCTACTGACATCAAACATATGCAAAATAACAAAGCTTCAGGGCCTGATGGAATCCCAGCCGAGGTGTATAAAGCAGGAGGACCTCTACTTACCAGCCGTCTCCACTCTCTCCTGGAGAATATATGGGAAAAGAGGGAAATCCCCCAAGCTCTTAAAGACACCTCCATCGTCAATATTTATAAGAACAAGGGAGACTGGTCTGAATGTGGCAGCTACCGCAGGATCTCGCTGCTGTCCGTAATTGGCAAGATTATCACCAGAGTCCTCCTAAACAGACTTCTTACTGAGGCCGAAAACTTCCTCCCAGAATCTCAATGTGGCTTTAAACCATCACATGGCACCACTGACATGATCTTTGTCATCGACCTAACCAAGGCCTTTGACTCGGTCAACAGGGAAGCCCTCTGGTGGATCCTCAGCCGTTTTGGCTACCCACCAAAATTCATTGTCATTGTGAGGCAACTCCATTATGGCATGAACGGCAGTGTCCTGCACAATGGCACCCAGTCTGAGTTCTTCACCATCCAAACAGGGGTTAAACAAGGATGTGTACTGGCACCAACTCTCTTTTCTATTCTCTTGGCTGCCCTTCTTACTCGTGCCAGGGCCAATTTAGCCGGCGGGTGAACATCGATTACCGGGTGAAGGGGGGTATTTTCAACATAAAACGACTCCAGGCAGGAACAAAGGTGTCGGCAACTTCCATTACTGAGCTTTAGTATACAGAGGACCTCGCCTTTGTCGCTCACACTGAACGTGACCTACAGGAGATCCTGAACACCTATGCAGATGCGTATGCACATTTCGGCCTTGAGGTGAAAGTATGTAAGACTCAGATTCTCTTTCAACCTGCCCCAAATTCAACCACACCTCCACCATTCATCCAGCTTAACGGTACTACCCTCTCTAATGTTACCCACTTTCAGTATCTCGGCTCCCACCTGTCCACCACCACAGACATCGATGAAGAGATTCTGCATCAGATCAGATGTGCATCTGAAGCCTTTGGAAGACTACGAAACCGTGTCTTCAGCTGTAGGGAGCTGAAATTATCTACAAAGTTACATTTATATAGAGCAGTGGTCCTCCCCACCCTGCTAAATGGCAGGGAGACATGGGTCACATACAGGAGGCACCTCAAGGCACTTGAAAACATTCACCAACGTAGTCTACGTTGCATCCTCCGAGTTCGCTGGGAAGACAAGAGAACAAATGTCAGCATTCTTGCTTTACACCAACTGTAGGAGCAATGAGGCCATGTTACCCGCATGGATGACAGTAGACTGCCAAAGCAGCTACTTTACAGTCACGTAACGAATAGTAAACGTAACGCCGGCGGGCATCTGAAAAGGTATAAGGATAGTCTTAAGACAAACCTGAAGAAGTGCCAATCGACCCCCTCACCTGGGAGACGATTACTCCACACCGTAACGCTTGGAGGAGCACCACACAAGAAGGTGTCAATACTTTCGAATTAGCCCGACTGCAAACTGAGACAGACGAGCACCAACGCCGAAGAGACGCTGCCGCTGCCCTTCCCGCACTAGATGTAGCCCCTCACTTGTGCAACATCTGCGAACGACCCTGCCGGTCCCATATCGGCCTCTTTAGTCACCTCAGAACTCAACAACGAAGGTGACATCACATTATTGTATCATAGCTGGATGATCGCCATACTCGATTCCATGTGACAGCAAAGTAGTAGTAGTAGTAGTAGTGTGTGTGTGTGTGTGTGTGTGTGTGTGTGTATATAATTAAAGAATCATGACCGATTTTAGCCATTACAAGTTTCAATCTCTCTCTCTCTCTCTTAAGTGATACAGCCCCACCCCCTAATCCCACACAGTCTTTAAACTTGATTATACCCACAAAAAAGTTTACATAAGACCCCGAATTCTATTCCCACGTTTCATCATCATAGGTACGGCTCCTCCGCCCTTCCCTCCCTCGCCTCCTCCTCCTCCTCCTCCTCCTCCTCCTCCTTCCTTCCTACCCAGAGATGGTTCGTCCTCTATAATTTTCCTGGGACCTGTTTTATAGTTTTGGGTAGTTGACGGGGGTGGAGGAGTGCTTGTTTGTCTCTCTCTCTCTCTCTCTCTCTCTCTCTCTCTCTCTCTCTCTCTCTCTCTCTCTCCAAAGGAAAAAGTTATCAGTATCATAATTTCATATTC